ATTATAATCATTATGTTATTTTAAATACTTATGTCATGTTTTGAAAGATCCTGCAGTCTTTCAAGGAGCGCGGGATGTTCGATAGTGTACCTTGTCTCACCACAGGGTGAGCAGATTTCTGTTTTTAGCTATTCCTATGTTAAGTTGGCAACTCTGTAAAATTGGGCCTAAGGAAGAAGGGGCTGTGAGAGAGAGGTTATCGGCCATTTTTGACTATCGCCAGCATCTTTTCTGTAACACTTGTATCGCCAAATATACTTCCCAAAAACATCCGTACAATAAAAAACTATCAAGCAAAAACGCAGTGCTCATTATTCACAACGGCATAAAATAAGCCAGAATAATCACATCGTTCTCCGAAAGAGTTGACTCCCGTGGTGCACTAACCACATTAGAGGGCAGCTCAAAAGTAGTGGAAACTACCCACTTCACAGCACGTTCTTTCAAAATTTCAATTAATAGTTTTTGTAAATTGGAATTAGAATGTTAGAACTTGTTAAATGCTTATTTTAATATGTTTGTCTAATACCTTTCTGTCTTTGTTTTTGAATATCTTTTCGTAAACCTCATTTTCGTGTGAGGCACGGTAAATCAGTCAAAAACTCCTCACTTTTTTAATGCCTTTTGCAAATCACGGTAAATGATATGGAGGATAAGCGCAGAACGCGTTCCAATTTGAGTCAACTTATTGTCAACTGTCATAATATTGATAACAGCTGATTTGTGATGACAGTTAAATGAAACTTACAACGGTTTTTGTGATTGTTTTTTCAAAATTGTTTAGGCTTTGAACTTTATAAAAACGAATAAGTCTGACGATTGGCATTTCTTCAATAGCATATTACTTTATCTTGATTTTAAGCAGGCGTTGAAACGTGATATTGTACAAATTTGGATATAGGTAAGATTTTTGGAATTATATATGAATAAAAACGGTTTTTTAGTGTTAATTTTAAGTAAAATATAGTTACCAACTTCTTTTAGGTATTAATTTTGTAAAACGTGAACTAGTGAAGTGTGCAGCCTTCAACCAACTGATAGCTCAAGTTAATGGACTAAGCATTAATGGATAAAGCAAATTTTCCCAGACTTACAAATAATGATTTCAACATTGGAGGACAAGCCAGTGGAATTTTGCCGTCTTATAATTTAGGTATGGCATTTATATTATATTAAATCTGCAACCTGCTATTTTCAAAATTTTATATTGTTATCTAAGGTATGTCTCATGGCGCAATTAAATGTCTAGCCATTGGGTAAAAATATGTAGGTACTTACTAACTAATTCACATGTACCCTATATCTCTCAGCCGCTTCATATTTGGAGTTTGAAATGGTAACTCTCCACTAGTAGTTGCTCATTTTAAAACTCTTCAAATATCCTATAGGATATAGCGAATTAGAAAAGGAGATATTTGTTATCAAATTATTTTGTATTTCATTAACAATCCAAAATGGTTTTTGTTATGCATCCTGACCATAATAAAGCCGGTTACACGATACTTAGTTTAGTTAACGAGATCCCATTTAAACTTACAAATTTGGGATGGCTAATGATATGGGGTAAATGAAGTTTGGTTTAATTGTTCTTTCAGACACTAGTTGGCCCCCGTTTCCAGATTTTTGTGACGATTTCTTTCCGAGGGAATCTTTAGGTAAAGTAGATTTCAATGTTCACATTTTTATGTAAAACTCACACATGTACATTCATTAATAACATTACACATATTTTATTTAGGCATTTTAAATGCTGACAAACTAGCAAACAATTCTCTTATTGACCAGAGTGCCCGTGAATCGTTGGGTATTCTCAATCTCAGCGCATTGGACATTGGTAGAGACTCTATAGGATTGTTTTCTATCAATAATCCAATTTTCCAGAAGCAGTTCAAACATGCCGAAAGAACAAATGCTAGGACTTTCTTAAATGGTAAGTAAATATTTTTTTTCTGTTCTGTGTTGCTGAATGCTGTTGAAAAAAAAAATTTTAATTTCTCCGATGAATTTTGTTTTGAGTTGTAAAGCAAAAGCAGCTATTTTACAACACCTAAAATACTCTGTGCCCTCTAATTCGCTAAGCCTAACTTTAGACTAAATCCCATGCGTCATATATAAGTTGCTTTTGTAAGGAATAAATGGTAGATCGAGAACATCCTTATAAAATATACATTGGTCGCCTTATGTGATCATATAATTGGTGCATGGAGAAAGTGTATTAATTGCCAAATTCTGATTATTTCTGTAATATACTAATAGTTAAATGAATAAATTCAATGATGTTATCAGTCATTGTTTTAAAATATTGCATAGTTCTATTCGCAGGCACACAAGTTAATTAAACATTTTAAGAGAAAAATTTACTCCTGTGATTATAGTGACGACATACTTATAAATAAGATATTCGTTATTTTAACTCCACTTTTCCTGTTAGTTATGATCGCAAATTCTATTTACAGCAGTGCAAGTATAATATTTTTTTGCCAACATATTTATCAGCATTATGAGCATAATTATCTAATTTGTGCTCATTGCAGGTACACACGTTTGTGAACGAACCCAAATATCTATTGGGTTTTGCGAATGAAACTACTTTTTTTGAAATTATATAAATAAAGACAATCTTTTCAATGTACTTAACTATTTGCTCTCTTAGAAATATCCTCCTGTATGTTGGTAAAGTGAAAATAATGTGAATAAATAGTTTAATTTCATATTAATTTTAGATGTCAACAGTCCACGGAGCTCGTTATCCACATTTATAGGATCTACCACTGAAGATCGTCCTAGTATCATTAGTACTTTTACATCATCATTGAACCCGTTTAATGATGCGTTTGTATGTGACTCTCTAAACACTACTCATTCGATTAATATTAAATCCGAGGATGCACAGACTGCGTTTCTTGGGGCTACAGATAATAATAGTAACAGCATTAAGTCGCTTCCGTTAAGTTCTGATGCAGACAGCATGCAAGACATGAAAGCTTTCAGTTCTGCCCACCACACTTTTATTAAGGAGATAGCATCTGATACCAACGAACTTGTAAGTTTACATGGTTTATCTAACTTTAACTGAGTTTACGTGTATTTTCAACATATATCTGGTGTTTTTAAGTGGCGTGCATAATACTGAAATGGATCTCTTCATAATTTAACACTCTAAGTACACGCAAGCTCTGTTGGTCTAAATTTGATTTGTTTTCAATCGCGTGGTTGTTTTCACGAACACGACCACCGCAACTGTTGGACGCACAGACTGTAGTAGTTAGGTAATGAAAATAATAAGTTCTGTAGTAAATTTGATTTCTTTAATGTAAATCTATGAGGAAAATTACCTTACGAAGTTAATAAAACAGTTTAGTATGTTCGTGCTAGATCCGTGCTAGTCCGTTTCTACTTAAATAATGTCAGCTGGTATCTTTAATTTTCTCTAACGAACTAGAAAGTAAAATGACTTAAGTTTTTGAATATAATTCTGGTACAATTTAAAGTATTTTTCGTCGGTATAATGTTTTGGTTATATAGGTATGTTTTATTGTGTGCATCCATTTTGAGTAATTGGTCAAAAAATCGGTCAAACTGAAAATAAAACAAATGCGTTTATAAACTTTGAACGAAAAATTTTGAGGATGGTGAGATAGCTTATAGAAGTTGAGAAAAGTTGCATAAGCCTATTATGTATTCACTATTTACGCGTACTGAGCTTTCCCTACTGTGTCCATGTTTTCTAAAGGAAAATCTATTTTATCAAAAAAAATACAAGAAAATGTGTATAACTGATTATACAAACTTTCTTCCATCTATTTATACTATCTATTCTGCTTTTGCAATTCTTGTTCGACCAAACTTGTGAATAAAGCGGGTAACTTCTCGAGGGTAAAAACGCGTACATTTTACGAAATATACACTCAAAATTAAAAGCTACTCAAAAACTAATACTGTTTTTTTTATAACAAATAAGCTGTTTAAATGATAATATAAAATTCCTAAAAATCCTTTTTGACGTTTTTTTTAATAGTGTTTTCATTGATTTAGGATGATTCTGTGTTTGAGGCAGACAGTTTCATTGCATTCGAATCGAAAGGTAAAGCAATGTTAATGTAATGTGTCTATTTGCAACTTTTATTCCTTATTCTTTTTATGTTACAGATAACTTGTTTAATGAAGGGGCATATAATTTAGATTTAACGTCGGAACCAGACTGGTCCCAATGTGACCTCACTCCCAGTGACGATGAAGGGGGTACCGATATTACTGTATGTAAAGCAGGAAACGTTCCTATTCAGGTATGTAGCTTTCTTTTCAACCTGGTTGAGATCGTTATTAATAACCGTGTTTATCAAGTCTGATTCGAATTGTTTTATCTGAAGCAAACTAATAGCACTATCTATCGTTGTCATTAGTTCATTGACATTGAAAAAGAGTTAAAATAGAGCGTTTTCGCGCCATTTCCTCATAATGTAAAGAAATTATTTTTTACTAGTAAAAGTTCATTGTGATTATACTTTTGTTGATGTTGCGAAAAAATATCAACCATGTGCAGACACTAAAAAGAAAAATAAATAGAGAAATATTTCGGTGCACAGAAAACATTTTTTTGCTTGCATATTGTTATTTAATATAGAATGGTAGTTTCGATAAAGATTTTTAAATATCTAAATATTATTGCTTTAGATAGATAAATTGTTCGGTATGAAGGCGGCTGGTTTATCCGATAATGTGGGAGTTACGAACGATGACAAAGTAACCGACTCGTCAGTGAATATTAGGTATATTTAAAACATTTCTTAGTTCTTGTCTGGGCAATATTGGTTAATAACTCATATTCATCGAGATAATGAATTGCCTTTTTTAGTCAGAACATAAGCAAAATTTCTCGAGCCTCCAGTGGTTCAAGTAACATTTTGGAAATGTCACCAAAAGACCACAGTATCTTGAAATATATTAACATTCTCTCTGATCTAATCGGTACTAAGGAGAATTTATCACAACATCAAAGAACAGAGGGTCAACGTCACTTGCGTGTATTAGCTGATTTATTTCGAGACGATGAGAAGAAGGTTTGCATACAGGTAATATTTTTCAAGAATCTCAAATTAATATAACTTTTCAGATAACTAACTCAACAAAATTGCTTAACTCATCAAGGCAAAATGTTCAGCTTATTAAAGAAGAGGAGAAAAGAAAAAGCAATGAGGTTCTAAATTATTTAGTAGGCTTGTTACAGAATGTAATGTTTTTATTTTTTAGAATTCGTTTCTTGCGACTGCAACCTGCACAAGTTCAAGTTCAACTAGCGCTGCTAAACCTTTGAAAGAAGCTCGTCCACTGAATAATTTAACTTCTCAAAACAAGGCCATTTCTGCGGCAAATAAATTTAACAAAATCAAAGCATCTGCGCCGTTAAAAAAAGAACCTTTAAGGTAGGTTTTCTTTTATAGTGCCAATTGCTAGATTCTTCTGGATCTACTATTTTTAGGGCTATACTACCTGTAGAAAATATGAGTAAGGCCAAGATGATCAAAAAATTAAATAATTCTAGTACTCCGGAGCAGAAAATAGCAGGATCTAAAAATGCGTTTTCATTAAATAAAAGTAGCTCGTCATACCAGGTATGTATTTTAGTTGGAGTCATGTGGAGTTGGTTTTTTAAAATGATGAATTGAATTTAATTGAATTGAAGATCATATAATATGCTTTTAGGAATCAAAATTGAAGCCTTTAGCAGCATCCACGCCTGACAGCCGGCTGTCCAATTCGTATAGGAAAACTGATGGTAAACGAAGCTTTTCAGGGTAAATGCGTAAATATAATAATTTCTTCTTTACTTATTTTAATGAGTTCTAATTTTATTTGGCTTAGGTATCGTTTTCGAAAATATAGATAGAGCCTAAGAATATTAGGATGATGGTTGTTATTAAAATTTTTCAAATTTGACAAAATAGGTAATCAAATTCGACTGATGGAATATTTAAAAGCGTAATTATTTTTGCCTTAGATCATTTTCAAGTTCAAATATTTCCGCTGTTGCTTCTGAAAAAACCCAGACAAGAAAGTCTTTGCCTAAGCTCGGTGGTGCAGTTTTAATGAGAAGAAACTCCGATTTTGCAGGCGACAGGAAGAAAGGTAACACGTAATTACAGCTTTTTGTTTCAGCAAATCGAAGAGTGTACTTATTTGAGTTTGCGTGCTCTTACCCTCATTAAAATCGCAACCAGCAACGTCGTTAAATTAAATTATCGCACACTATTATTAATTTTTGAAATTTCTTGGGACATTGGACAATATTTTAGAATGAACAACCCACATTTTATACATCAACTATGAATTTTCATGTGAGATTTGAAAATTATTTTAGCAAACGGGTTTAGTTTTTGCGGTTTATTCAAGCAAAATGAGCAACTTACCTAAACTTTATTTGCTCTTATTCCTGATTCTATTAGGCAAAATCCTCGATCGTAACTTCAATTTACTTTACTCCAATCTTGTTACTTTTGTGGGCAAACAATTATTTAAATCCTCAGTACACATTCACATTCTGTTTGGGGATCAAACATGTTTTGGTGCTGATTCTCATTTATTTCCAAAAATATTGTTCTTGACATAAAACTCACCTCACGGACTTAAAAATATATTTGTTTAATTTCTTTTTGAGTTCTACATTTTTTTCCACGTTTCTCAGCACTGTCGCAGTTTGCGCCTTAAGTTTTTTAATTTATTGAAATAACTGTATGTATGTATTATTTTTTTAAATCAATTTAGATGTTCAAAAGCTCAAGCGAAGCAATTCAACTGGAAGAGAATCGAAGCTTTCTATCGCCTTATCAAAAGTTCGAAAAAATATGTTAAATTCTCCCCATTTGAGTACAGTAATGCGAGGATTCAACAGCCAGGGCATTAGCCAACCGACTAATTTAGTATCCAAATATTCAACAAAGGTTAGTTTATAATTAGAAATCAACTTGAGTATTATTTACGCACTTGAAACTTTAAAAAATCTCTTTGTTACTGTCAGTTTGCAGATAATACCGTTGGAAAAGAAAATATGGAGCCTGTGACAGCGCGACAAAGTAAATAAGTGATATTAATAATATTTTTTGTAATTTTGTATGTGTGCTTGTTCATTGTTGATAGCTATTTCAGTGCAAAAGTAAATATTTATGGAAAGTGTTTAATAATATAAATCTCTATTTAATACTCATATAAAGATATTACATTCTAGACTGTAAAGAAAGATTTATATGTTTGCATAAAAAAATATTGAAATATATCTCTAATTTGTAATATGAGAAACTGACTGGAAATATCACCCCAATGAATTTTTCCCAACGATTGTTTTGCTCGACTCAACGCAGTTTGTTCGACATTAACTTTAACTTTCGATTTGGAAAACGTAGCACATGTGGTTTCTGCGATTTCACGGGTTTTAGCATTACAAAATAGACTTATTTTGCACAACATATCAAGCTGTTCGAACTCAGTTTCATAAAAATGGAGCAAAAGTCCGATCTGAGAGCTCGTGTGAAAAAATCAAATTCTGTTGCTTTTAATAGCGCAATCAAAGTGAAGAATTCACAATTCATGGCATGGCTTGTGAATGTTTTACTTTGATTTTGGTGGATCTGCTAACAATTGTACAGCCTCTCACAACAGATCGAGCTAAAAATATTTTCATGTTCAATCAAGTTTCATGAAAAAATTGCAAAAAATTGATCAGAGAGCGAGTATTTAATTTCATAGTAAAGAATTAAGTTAAATCATAGTAAAGAAATGAGTCATACGAAGGGCCAACAAGGAAACGATTATATCATTATGTAAGTTCTGTAGCTCGGTGCGTTTTTAATGTGATAAACACCTTAATATCGTATGAGTTTTTTCTTAAAGGTGAATTTAGTTCAGTCATCTTGTTCATAAGGCAAGTAGGGTCGATCATCTTACCTGTTAACTTCGTCTGGATATTCATTGTCTGTTCAAGTGTAGTGTGTGATATTTGAGAATTAATGGATAAATAATGAGGCGCCAATTTGCAGAAGGCAGGTAAGATGGATTATTAATCCGTAAACTGAATTGAGCTGAGTTTAGTTTTTCGAAAAATAATTAAACTTTTATTCAGTTCTCTATTTATTTTTCTTTGCAATCAAATAACTGGAATAACTTGCCGTTGGCGGATAGCACGTTAAAACGTTGCGGGTGATCCTGGCCAAACCATTCAAATTTCACGTGGTTTTTCAAAATTATAAATTGAAACAAATTATTTTTTGTTAAACTATAGAAAATGGAGGATGGGGCGCCAGCGTGCAGAAAACTGGTAAGGATTTTTTCTGGTCTGTTAATTCTCTAGCTTGAACTGAAGTTGAGTTCAATTTTTCGAAATCCAACTGAAGTTTTATGCATTCCTTATATTTCTTATTCTTAATGGTTTGGAACAAATTTCCTGCAGCACTAAACACATTTTGTTATTTGTTTTCAGGTGGCACGATGCAGCTTTTGGTAAGTTTTGCATTACTTTGCCCCTTGTTTGCCATATCCCATATTGTTGACTTGTATTACAAAAATGCTTTATTCAAACATTTTGAATTTTTCGAAGCTCGAAAGTTTACGATTCTCCACTTCTTCACTTAATTTCTGTTGAACCGCACAAAAAAATCGCCATACTCCAAATTGAGTACCAGGTATACCGTTTACTAGTTTTTAATTTAGATTTTTATTATTTGTTTTGCACATAATACAAATTGCAGAAACAATCGTATTCAGCTTTTCATTTCAACATATTCAACTGTTGAATAATGAATTTGCAAGTGGATCGGGATTGGATTATAAAAACGAATTGACTATTATCATGACAAAAACCTGTCTTCTTCAAATGTTTTTACATTACTATATATGTACATAGCTAATCGAAACGTTATAGTAACAAAAATGATGTGGACAAAAGTGAACATGATTTAGTGAAGTATTCATTCTAATGTGTAGCATTTTTACAATGGATTCAAACATTTAGGTTTTATCAACCACGTCCAAATTAAATTAATTTTTCCGGGTTAATTAAGGTCAACTAAAATAACTGTAGATAGATTTTTAACAGTGTTCTTTACTTAATTATTGATTCTTAATAAAGTAGTCTTAGTTACATTCTTTGCTGAGAGCTAGAAGAACCCGAAACAAAATCATGTTGAAATATTTGTCCAAGAAATATAGATAACTACCTACTTTTGAATTTTGTACATATTATAATAGATCTAATTATTGGATAAGTGATCATAATATGTACTGATACATATACATTGGTCAATGTGATAATAGTGATTATTTTTGCAAAATCAATGTATTCGGTAACCAAAATGAACTTAGCGAGTGCAAAGCAATGGTAATTCTCAACGAAATACGAATTTGATGATATTTTATGTTAGTTAATGGATATACATATTAATGGACTGGAAGTCTAATGATTACAAGCTTTAGCCTCTTGCATGGTTTCACGGAATGTCGGATCAGATCCAACTTACCCGAATACTTTCTATAGATTTTAAAATGGTCCCGTTTCAAAAACCTTGATTCATTCAATGTGGCCAATTTCATCAAACCTGTAATCATTGTTGATATCGACTTTAAATCGACCCATTCATAAAAAAAACATGTTTGTAATATGGGCACAGAAGAGAACATACAGTTTTGTTATTTCGATAAATGTAAAAAAAAAACGTTTTGAAGCACCAATAGATTTGATATGATATACACTGATATATGAAACATACCTGCTCTAAGCTACGAATCTTTTGCTATATTTATATGATTTAGCTGATTGTATGTGAAAGTGTGAGTGGTACATAGAAACTGCACAGAGGAATACGTGATTGCTGGACATGTAAATATTACATTAATTGAGACAAATGTATGCACTGTTCAATTTATAACAGCAAAATTTGGAAATTGATAATGATTTATGTTAAGACAAACGTGCAATATGCACATATTTTAAAATCTCATTGCTTTTTGAGATTTTTACTTGCAAAATATTTATTTTATTTTATAATTGTTGGAATTAATTTCAAGATTTTGCTATGAAATCTCATAATCTCAAATTATTTCCAGTTTCCCATCGAACACTCACTACCAATAATACAGTTATCGATTCATTTGTTAAAAATTGGCTCCTGAAAATGTCAAATCAGTTTAATTATTTCTAACATTTTATATTTAATTCATGTAAAAACCAATCGGGTTTCTGCACATGTTTTTGAATAAAAGTGATTGGAAGTCGTTATAAGCCACCCGGTGCAAGTTTTGCCAAAAAGCAATAAAACTTAAATCTAAGATTTTTAACTAAGTTTGGAAAATATCAACTTTTGCATTTTTAATGATTTTAAAATGAAAAGATAAAACCAGTTTTTTCTGCCTGGATCTCAAAAACTAAACGCTCAATAATATTGATCTTATTGACTAAATCATATATGATTACTTACACAGATTTACACAGGGTGAGTAGATATTATTTATTAATTTAGAATTATTATAATTAAGATAATAATACGATTCGAAATTAGTAAATAAGGTAACAAACATGAAATTATAACTTTTTTAAGCAGAACCGTAACATGCACCTACAATTTATTATTCCTCAGAGCTTGTTTCTATCTGAAAAAGTTGGTGAATAGCAAAAGTACCAAATATTAATTACTCAGTTCGTATAGTATATCAAATTAATATTTGTCTAGCATGTTTATCTCTAACACAGATGCGCATTAACAAAGTATTTTCTTCCAATCTAATAATAGTTAAATTGAGGAGATCTTAACTTTGAATATAGTAATATCAACTTCAAAATTAACTTTCCTTAATTTGTTGAATAGTTTTTTTTAGTGTTAATAATTAAAATATTGTCAATTTCAAAAGTAGACTAGGATGATACAAGAGTAATTTAAAGTGACTCAGTAGATTGATAAAGAGAGAGATATTAAATCTGAATGAAATATACACATTAATTTCTTACATTTTATCACAGAGCGAAAACAAATTTTACAGATGTGATTAAAATATGCAACAAACACTATTTAAAGGTAATAAGTAACCATTTCGAGCATAGGGAAAACGATAATGTTTTGTCACATATCTTATCTCTTTAAGAGCAAAACGAACCTTAAAGCACTAAGCTTAAATGATGTTGGGGAAATGTTACTTTCAATTTACATGTAAATTTTATAATTGTACACTAATTTCTCGATATAGAATTACGACACTTAAATAGATTTCCCGAGTTTGTAATCGAATATGAGTGAATCATTAACATCATTATGCACGTGCACTTCAATTAACTTTTTTCAATACCAAAGTCAACGGAAACAATCCGGTAAATCAAATGTTAGAATAGAACCCCGCGTCGCCTAGTAAGTAATTGGTATTTTGAACTAAAACTGAGATTCATTTACTTTTCCATACATACAATGTAAGGAAACTTTTGCTTATATAAATTAGCATGAAAAAAAAACGTAATCTATCACGCCTGGAGTGAAACAGTTATAAATGCAAATATACGTTTTGTGATAATAGAAAACTCCGAATATTTAAATCTTTCGAAAACTTAATAAAACAGACACTCTGTTTTAAAAAATATACATTTATTTAATCAGAAGTCCATTTTGTCGTGTGAACTAGCGGTTCTCATATGATTTTTCTTTTTGCGCATAAAAGCAAAGCACAATTGTTTTTTTATTTACGTTTTAAATAAAGACTACCACATAAAAGACATTGATCTGAATATCAGCCGTTGTCCGTAAAATAAATAAAAACAATGGATTTAAGAACTTAAGAAAGAGGCAACGATTTTTTAAAGTAGCCGTCGAAAAATATGAAAGTACATTTTTTCCTAGACTTTTTCAATTGCACTAATAATAAAATGAGCAAAATCGTCTTATTTTTACCTTATTTTTCTTTGGCCAAAACGCTGTTGGAAGGGTAAAATGTTTTAGATAGACACAGAATTTTTGTAGAACATTCCCTATTTGTGTGTAAGATCTTATAAAATTGTAAAAGTTGACACCTTCCTCAAAGACTCACACGGGATAATAAAAATAGAACACTTTCGAAATTTGGAAAATCCTAAATGGAATAGGCCTATTTATTTCTTGCATTAAAAAGTATTCAGTTATTACTGTATAATATCAAAAAAGGAACATTAAAATCTGAGAAAAAATGTTGGTAGTTTAAAATATTTTAAGTAAAAATTCGGATTTTTCTATTTTCACTCAATTTGTTATAACATCAAAACGAATGTTTGCTACCGAAAATTAAACGCTACTAACAAACCCTGTATAATGCACACCCTGGCATCTAGTTACATACATGATTTAATATTTAGTTGATGACATGATCATATATAACCAATGAGAAATGCGAATCAATAATTAACAAAATTTTCAAATTAATTACTTTTTTATTGCGTTTAAATATTAGTTGTATACACACAATTTTTTTCATGCGCGCTGAAAATTATATTAAACTATTTATATACGGGAGGCACGGTAAATATAACGACAGTTCTTTGAGTCTCATCGCGTTCAATATAGCGGACGGTCCTTTTCAGGTAGTAACAATTATTTAAACACTTATGTTGAACACGGGCAAAATAACAACTTATGTTTAACACTTAAGCTGTTATTTTATTACAATTACTTAGTTTACAGGGGCAGGTGTTTGTTTCGGATTTTGGTTGGTGAATAAAAAGTCTATTTTGAAATCTTGCACAGTCAATAACTCATTCGCTGTTCAACATATATTTTAATAAATCATTGTCTAACGTATGCTCCACACATTTTAATTTTATATATTTAGATGTAATAACAACGTTTGTGGTTAAATACTAGTCCAAGCGACATTCTGCTTTGAATATGGTCCAATCACTTATCGATTACAGAAAATATCTTTTTAATCACCAAAGCAACAAGAAGGCTACCCTTAACGAGAAGAGTTCAACTTTCCAAAGAGAAAGTTCAATTTTTCATAAAATAGTTCAACGTTCACAGAAACTCACGGATATTCCATAACTGTAAATGCTTAGTTCTGTTTACTGTGTTATGTTATCTTCCTGTCGGATGTCGGACTTTAATTTGACGAATTCTTTGGCGACTTCGTCGTTTGTGCGTTGCGAGAGTATCCTGAGGATGGTCCAGCCCGTTTCGTCCATTTGAATGCGTTTGCCCAGTGAAAGCCAACATGCACATGATCCCTATGGTAAATGTTTGAAAGAAGTTAGTCAGAATCTAATTTAACTCAAATTAATGTAATCACCTTATCAACGATGTCTTTTAATTGCATGACAGCTACACCAACAAGTCTATCTTCTCTGGCAAAACAATAGTCTTTAACACAAATGTGGAGTTCGTAGTAATCCAGTTGTTCCTCATTACCAATAGTGCTGAAATAATTATATTTCGAAATAGAGAGCTTCTTACGGTCTGACGAATATTTTCCTAACTGTTTTACGTTAAATTTTCTCATCCTGCCCAGTGCCCTTTATTAGATAACGATAACACAAACCCACTAACTACTAATATAAATAAAATGTAAAAATTTATTAATCGAGTGGATTTTTGTCTATTGCGTCGCACAAGCTCTCCCCTGCTATCCGCTTTTTGCAACTTTTCTTGATCAGTTTCTTGGCTTTGATGAGATGAAAAGTCCTTTCGACAAAGTGATTTTTGTGCAAAGTGAAAAAAATTCGTCGTTCCTAAGCAAGAAAACATTAAAAAAGTATCTATTTAATAATAGTCTTATTTAAAAGAGAGCTTTCTTATAGAGCTTATGTAAAAGTTTTTGTATATTGTGGAAAGTTACTTCAATTGTTAGTGCCACATCCAAAGCAATATTGCTTCAGTTATTTCAGTATATTTTCCACACGAACTTTCGTGATTTTTTCACTAGTATTTTACCCGTTGAATCGTTTTCTCCTGTTCACATAAGGCCTCATTGTATGTGAAAACGAGCATGACTATGTATTAATAGCGATTATTATATTTACGGGGATTTTCCCTACAATATTTTTTGTTGGCCCATTCGCAAACCGAATCTAATTTGGTCGGACTTTAAAAGAGTACTTACAAGTTGAATGTTTCATTGTACTTTGGCGACCAGTTGTTTGACTTCGATTTCGTAGCGTGTTTCCTTTTCTTGTCGGAAAGATGGGGACCGATGAGATTGACTTCAACAAATGGCCTGAACATGCCTGAGACTAAATTCCACTTCAAATCGTTAGCAGCAACCACTGTAATATAAAATAATAATACATATATGAAAAAAATCGTTTCATTGACCGCTGTAACTCTTGCTGACAATGACTATAAAATACTGGAGAAAAGTTACGTTTAACAACTATTGCAAGCATAGTTTGGTGTTTAGACAAAATAGGCCAGTAAACAAACACATTCAAAAGTTGCAATTAGTTGGGGAAAAATCTCTGAATAACATTATGAGCCAGTTTCAGAAATGGCTTTGCAATAGTACGTTTTGCTTTCATATTTCTTGAAGCATCCGATATAGTATCATTTAAAAACCTATTTTTTTTTAAATCAAGAATATCTTGTTCTAGTTATGTTAACAGACCTTTCCTACATACGAAGAAAGCGTTTCTACATACGCATAGGAAGTTACATGTACTGTATTTTTTACTGCTGAAAATAGGGTATTTTTGTATTTACCTTTTACTGTTATTTTGTGCTCCCCAGTTCCTGGGTGAGTAAATAGGTCAACCTGAATGGAAACTTCTCCTACGCTGCCCTCTTGCCCGTCGACTGAATCTGAAATTAGTTCACTTTTAACTATCTAGAATCTCCTTTCTTCAGTTTAAAAAGCATACTCTATTAACGGCAATAATTGGACCTTTTAACAACTACGTTATAGAAGTGATTTTGCGTAAAAAATAAAAATGTTGTCTAATTAAGCAGCTTTTAATTATGCTTTATCGAAAAAGTTTCTCCGTTTGCACATAATGCAATAGTTGCTATTTGTTCAGGCAGGAAAAAGTGGCACTGAGACATTATATTTGCTTTTTCTTCTTAATGAGCCAATATACAGGGCGTTTTGAAATGTCAATAACAAAAACTGGTTGCAATAGTTTTTTGTACTGATCACCGTTTGTTATATTTTCAAGTAAATTTCTTGCCTATATCTGTCCACCCTGTATATTTGTTTTTAAACATTGCTAGTATGTTGGGGAGAGTGCAAGCAAAGTGTAGAATTTACAGAAAAAGAGTATCGACAGCATATTTTCTTGAAAATGAAGAAATAAAATTCTGGTTCAGCGCCATGAAGTTTTCGTTCTACCGAGTATGAGAAGAACATTATTCTATGTGCGCTCCCAATTTGCTAGATACTGCCGTCTTTGAGGGATGTATACAGTACATGATCAACGGATTGTATCACCCACCTGAACGTTTCTTTTTTTATAAAATACACCTTATAATATAAGTTAAGATTACTTAAAGCACTATTTTCTGTAATTGCAGAATAATTAAACTGATTGCATCTAAAAGTTCTAGAACATTTTTAAAATTCATAAAACTATGTCAGAATAGCATGCTCAAATTTCACTAGTATGATTCAATGAATAATTGTCGGAAATCGGATTTTAACGATTTATTCACATGTATAAGTATCCATAAAGTGGGTATTTTCGTCTCTACAACAAAAGCAGCAGATTTGATATAGGAATTCATTTTCTGTGACCTTAACAGAACTACTAATATGCCCTCCCTATAGGACAATATCCTTAATTTAAAATTTGAAATTCAGTTAATTAAACTGAAATAAGGCGGAAGGATTGTATCGAGGCTTTATATTAATAATTTCTTACACAACAGCCCTTTAAAAAATGCTTAATTGTGCTTAAAATACAGAATTATTCAATAAAGATGTGAAAACCAAAAGCTGAAGATAATGCACGCCGTGCGTTTTCCAAAAAAAATTTCTATTTTATACAAATTAAAATATACATACAAAAATAAATCTTTGTTATACAAGATAACAGAAATATTTATTTGATACTTTTCTTTCCTATTTTGCTACTAGGTTGACACGAAAATGGCAAATCAAAGCCAGTAGGTACAAGTTGTAGTATTTCTGTTCATCAAATCACAAAAAAGTCATATATAGAATTTACATTCGTAAACCTTTTGTGCGGTCTTGTTGAAAACCTCTTAGCGTTTGAATACAATTTGTAGTCCACCAAAATTGTAGCCTCTGGTGGAAATTTGATATTCTTAGAATGAATGGTTTTCATGATTATTTTGTAAAACCCGTTTTTGCATCCACACTTTTATGGCAAGCGCAAGTTTTTAAAAACGTTTTCGTTTACGAGAAAATATTTAATCTAATTACTACTTTATGGACACCATTTCGATTACTATCCTCTCAGTAAAGAAATGAAGAAAGAACATAAATATATTCAACTCAACAATATTTGTGCTTCCATTATTCATTGAATGCTTTCAAAATTACCTCACATATTTAGGGGAAGTCGAAATGTTTTTTTATTTTTTGAGTAAGAAGGTCCTATCTTAGGTCAGTGCGGAATGGGTTTTGTGACTACAATATTACCAATTTTTCTTTTCATTTGTTCGAAATGTTTGCATTTGGAACTTCACTGATTTTAGGTTTTATGAAATTGAGCTTGATTTTAGGCTTAATTTCGACTTTCCCTATTTTTCTACAAATTTAATAACGGTCTTTTCAAACTTGAGTCTAAATTCCTCTAAAACTTTCTAGTCTGAGGATAACCTAATTGCATTTCACAGAATGCTGTTTGTTATCCACATTTTACATTTGTAGTAGCAGTATGTTTAAGAATAAAAATCTAATGTTTCGTATTAGCACTACATTTATAAAAAACAGCTTTGTCACTTTTACGTATCAACGTGTAGAAGTGGTGATTGATGGCGATAGCTTGAATGTTTGCTAGTGGAAAACGATGTGCTCAAATTATACACAGAGGAATATTTAATGTAAGTATATAATTTCTCAGTTTGATTCAAGTAAGCAATTTATTCAACTCAGTAACAGATGTGGCAAATTAATTTCCGTGGTAGACAAATATATAAGAGAAACACGGATTAAATTATATGGTGTTTTTTTAGCAAAAAAAAATGAAATTACCAGAGCAGCTAAATCGTTATTGATTACGAACCGAAAAAAATGTTTGGCTTACGAATTGTAATTTCCAAAATATAAACAATCAGGAAAACCATTTTAAATGAAACTAAGTGCATTGGTGAAATAATCTCACGATCAACCAAATTATCTGGAAAACGGCTGTTCCAAGCGACTTGAAACTTACACTAAATTATAGAGGAATTGACTCTCTTGCTAAAAAAATATGAAACGAAGATCCAGGAAAAGATTATGACTCTTCAAACGAAAAAAAGACATGTGAAAGCAAATTCAAGAGCACATTTAAGGCTCTCAGGTTACAAAACACCCAAATACCAAGTCACCATGTCGGAATTATTTAAAAAATTACTTAGACAAATACAAATTTGAATTAATCGTTTAAAACCCTGTAGCTCGATAATAATAGTGGACTCAGAACTTGTCCTGAAAAATAAGTCTTATCCGCTCTGTTATAGGAAAAATTATTTGGATAATTTCGAATTGACTTGAAAATTTCGTACTCGAGCTTCTCGCTTAAAAGCCATTCAAGAAGTTACATGGCAGACTACTTCAAATATTCTTAAGATAGCCAAAAATAAGAAATAATTGCCCATTTTAATGAAAGCCATCCTGCCCATCCCAAACTGCCGTATTTGTATAACAGACAAAGTAAAAAATCTGCGGCCGCTGAACTATTCTCATTCTTGTATCACTTAAAAAATCGCCACTTCTTCAATTCCAATGATGAATAAATTCTTAGCCGTTATACCCAAATATAGGTGCATAAGATGAGTGGCATTGACCCTCTTCTGAATATCAGATTTCAGATTATTTTGTTGTTTTACGAAAAATATTTTCAATAGAACCATGAATGGAAAACCACTGCAACTAGTTTTTCTCGAGAGTTTTTATGATTACTTTGCCACTGATAAATAATAAATTATTGAGTTGTTCACATTTCAAAAGTATTTGCGCGCCTGTTTGGTTTTATGATGTTAAGGCTGTAGGGTTGAATAAAACATATTTTAGTTTTTAAATAACCCCACAAAAAGGTATCTGGAAGCGTATTATTAAATCTATTACCAAAACACAAGTATTCTCACTATCGGACATCCAGTTACTGGGGGAAACTCCTTGTTATACGGACAGTTTAAAGTAATTGCCGTGTTTCTCTGCTGTCTTTCGACAACAGAATTTAATTATCCACGCCTATATTTTTTGTATTATCATATATTTTGAATTAATAAAATGACCTCATCCCGCTGGATAAATTTGGTGACCTGTAGTTTTGCAAGAACAAACTTTCCATTGTAATATTCCTCAGTATATGTTTGGTAAATGCTTGAAAAAAAAACTAGCAAAAATTGTAATATGCAACTTGCTGTCAGCCTTGTTTAAACAAGGGTAGCGTTCAGCGGATCTACCTGGCCATTTGTCTCTGGGCTTTTTCGCCTTAAGAGGCTCTTCGAGGGCTTCTAGACCCGCTTCGGGTTCCTCACGATCTATCGATATTTGCCGTTGCATCATAGTTTCTTTATTGTTTAGCGGCACTTTTGAAAAGAACAACTTGTGTTTAAATTGTGGATTGTGTGATGATTGGTGGTGGTGAAGTTGAAATTATGGTCTTAGGTATGTTAACCAATATGAGTTAATATAATCAGACTTTAATGTACCTAATGAAGTTGATGAACCGATTACATCGAAGTATGCGTGAGCATTCACAAATGGACTTACCTTCATTTATTTGAGTAGTAACAAATGTTTTAATTAATGTATCCGTCGTTTGGGTGTATAGCGATAAGGCGTATCTCAAACTTTGCAGTTCAGAACTTTTGTCGAGGAAGGCTTTCTTCAATCCATTGCCACCTGCAAAAACCAAAACATTTGTATATTGTTTGAAGACCCAATTTTTCAAAGTTTAAGTCAGTTTTACCTGCATGGAAATATTGCTTAATAGTATCTAAGGCCACATCTAAGACAGCGCATTGCTTCGGTGACAAGTTTTTCTCCACCTCTTTGCTGATATCCATGACTCCGCTCAAGGCGTTTTTAACGTCTTGCTTACCAGTCATGTGATTCTTGAACAATCTTGACATATCTTCTATTTTTGTATTAGCCGCCAGGTTTTTCGCGTTATCTGTTATACTCTTGAACACCATCTAAAGAAAAAGTAGGTACAGAACAGTACGTATAGCAAAACACTCATACATACCGTTTTATCAGTCATAGGAGGTAGTACTACAGTTTTTTCTAATATTCTCATTACTATCCTCCACAGTTCCTTCAGCAGTCTTTTAAGTACAGTTTTCTCACAGGACTGTGCGTACAGAGACAGCGAACCGTCCAACAGGTCCATTAGGGGGCGCAGCACTTCGTCGGCTTCCACTGCAACCTGTTGTCTCTGAGCTGGTTGATTTAGGGTACCTGGTTGACCTCCACCCTTAATTGCCAACAGGAGGTCACCCAATTCTTTCACACTTTGAGTGATTCGAGGTTCCAGACTAGAAATCCCCAAAAAAGTCTTCTAAAAACTGCAACTTCTTTTCCCCGTAATTATCTAATATAGAGAGTATCAGGAAAAAGGTAGACATGCTTTTGGATACCTATGAAATGAAGTGGGCAAGGAATTGTAGAAATGTGTGGAACATCAACTTAGAATTACAATGAGAGTCCATAGAACATGGTAATTCTATGTACACCTTTTCCTTGTTTACCTTGATGCAAACTGATGCGCCAATTCATCCAAGCAACCATTCAACGTCTGTTGCAACTCTTTCAAAATATTTGCGGCATCTTCTTCCAGCTTCTCTCCACCCATAGACTCGAACATTTTCTCTAACTGGACCCTTAACTGCTGGATATTATTCATCAAAATGCATGCCTGGAAACACATTAGTTGACTCTTTGCAATGAAACGAGAACTTTGAAACATACTATTCTCTCTTCCTTTAGATGATCAGGAAATTCTTTTTTCACGATATCAGCATAGGCAATTAACACTTTTAAAATCGTTTTTGCAAATCGCTTCATGTATCTTTTCCAGATTTCTGGATCGGGACACTCCAGTTTCGATACCACATCGAAACATTGCGTAAGCTGGGTGAAAACGTCCACCACTGAATTGGAGAACAATGTATGTTCGCTGCTCTTTTGGAACTAGTGGAATTATTTTGTTATTAGTAAAGCTAGTAGAAATTGAAAAGTGAACTTTATTGCGCTAAGACAGCAAGAAATAAGCGCGTTTCAAACATAGAAATTCTGAAATGAGGAATTTAAAGGTTCTCAGAATAATTAGGATCGATTATCGATCGAAATTATTCCAAATGTATTTATTGTTTGCTGAAATTGCTAAATCAAGTATAACAAATATACCTTATTCAATACAATACAAATATTTAAGACATTTGGATAAAAGAGAGAGAAAGATAAACATTATTTCAAAACCTACTAAATTTATTTATTTAAACATTCATCGTTTTTAAAATTGTAAAAAAAAAGTTCCACTATGCATTGATAACAAGCATTTTCTATATCGCCCTTTTGGAAACTGTTCTGGGATATTTAAATAAACTGGAATTTTAAAGTTAAAGTTTTATTTAGTAGGTATAATAAGTAAGTAAAACGTTACGTAAAAAGAAACTTAAACTTGAAATATGGAAAACTGGCCATCATTCGAACAAACCTTCAAATATGTGATTCAAGACAAAGCTAAATAAATACTTGTAAATAATTTGGTACAGACCACACAACTAGCTCGATAATCCGCCTCAGCAACAGTCAACAAGAAACTATTCTTACTGATCTTAAATCTATTGGTCTAAAAGTTCACCCAATTTTTTGACGAAATTTAAAACCTGATCCGCCGTCAAAAAGTTCAATAGAAATGAAGTGTTCAATTTTAAAAGAATATGCTTTGTCGTTCGAAATTACTTCATCTTTTCTGGAGCTTGTTTATAATTCTGACTTGAACTCGGTGCAAATTTTAATAGATTAATAATGCCTTCATTGTATTGTAACCCAGGAATTAATTTTAGAATGTTTTAAAGTGTTGCAATTGTGATGTATTTTAATGTGTGATATGATGAGGCTGTTGACGAACTGTGATTGTTTTTTAAATTAATGAATTTTTTTTTAACTATCTGTTATATTAGAAAAACTGATGATGGTGGAAAAATACACCGAAACGTATTTTAATTGATAAATAAAGACAATAAATGACTGAAACCCAGGAATTAATTTTGATTTGGAATTAATAATGCCATAAAAGTGTTTAAAAAAGAACCAAGAAATATAATTTAGAAAAAAATACATCTATTTTAGTTTCAATGTCACCAGTAATTTTGCGTAAAAATACATATACGGAAAATCTCAAGTATAAACAGTAAAAAATATATCAAATGACTTTTCTTATACAATTCGTTCATGAATAGCCCACTTGTGAAATTTAAAGACAAACAAAGCAGCTGAAACTTATGATTAGATAGATTGAGTCTCAATTACTTACCCCGTCCTTTTTATCTCTTGTAAAAGCCCCGTTAAGGTACTCCAGCGAAACGTCGTCATTCTCGTTCAGCCACTGCATAACGAATGGTTCGAACCATGCAGGATATTCTGGAACTGCTCCCTTGTAAGGAGGAACATCTTTCACATAGCTGGTGTACAACCATTTAACTTTAAAGTGCAAGTTCATGTAAGCAGAAGATTTGCACAGTCTATGTGCTTCGTGTTCTTCTAGAGCGTATTTCATATCAACTGCAAATAGCGACCACATGGTAGCTGCAGATAGCTGCAAAGAAACAGCGAGCATTCAAATGAGACGTTTGCTTCGCACAGTTTCCCAATTCTTACCTGGCCGATATTGAGTTCTTGGGGGAACTGGTTCAGTACTGGGCCATAACTATTTTTATCTTCTTCTATCACAGAAACAATAAGCGCTATTAATTTGTGCCAAAAGTCCACGCTATCCAACCGAGGTCCATGATCATCTGGATCCCTTTTTGGTTCGCTGGGGTCGGTTTGGAATTCTCTACTGTAGAGCTCGTAGGTATTTTCAAAGAGAAATTGGTATGTAGACCTGAAAGAAATTTATTGTTCTATAGGCACGTTTTCAAAACAAAAAACTTGTCATAGTTATAATCACTTCTTTGGAAAGGGAGTTTTTAAAACAGTTTCTATTGCGATTACATGGTGAACATCATGTACATCGTAAGTGTAATTAGATATTTCCTTATGCTAAGTTGGCAAAATAGGATATCATAACTTCATTGACTTGTGTATCCTATGTCCAAACTTTGGACTTGATCAGAAGAACAAGCAGACTTTCGAGGAGACATCGATCAGTAATTGACAACATATTTTTGAACAAAGGACACAAAATACTAAACAGTGCACCTATTATTCGTTTTTCACTGAGATGCTTTCGATACCATGCGGCTAAGAAAGCTATGGGATGCAATGAAGACAATCAACGTTAAAATGATTTAATGAAAGAGGCTAAAACTTTGTGCAAAGGTGCAAAAATTAAAGCCGGATTGTATTGAATATAGAAGTACCTAAACATAGTACATAATCGGCAGTTGGAGGAAGCAACCAAAGAAAAAAAGCACTCAAGGATGAAGAACAATTGGTCTATTAAATAAGGTGTAATGAGAGAAAAGCATAAATAAAGATTATAAGAATAGGACCGTTGAAACGCCGAAAGCAACGAGATTAACTTCTGGAGAAAAGGGGCGGGAAAGCAAAAAATGGAAAAAGTTACCAATCAAACTATGAGACAAATCAGGAGGGCACTCCTGCAAATGAACTCTTTAATGCCCCTGTTATGTAAGATATGTGAACCGAAAATAGTTAATAATTCTTCACAAAATGACTTTATGTCATAAAACAGCATGGGGCGCTTTAGGGTCTGGAGCAAACATTTCGTGGTAGGCTTTAAGTCTCTCGATTCGGTATCGGTCAAACTTTCTCATAATTAAACTTGTAATATTTTCTAGTTGCAAATAAAGTTCGTATTATTTTTGAATTACTGTAGTGTCGTAATTTTTCTGATAATTTATAATTCCTTGCAAACGGTTCTAAGGCATACATGAATGTCTCAGTAATATTTTGAGTCGCACTTCATTTGTCTTCATCCAACACTTTGAAGGAGCTAACAAAACATGTGAGACAATAATTTCGGGAACTTTTTACTTACTGCTTAAACCTGCTTATGCAATTTACTTTAATTAATTCTCACTTAGAATAATGCTGGTTGTGAAACTCAATATCTCCTCCTTGCTTAAGATAATTTGAATTAGTAGGATTTTCGTAGAAATGTTTGCGAATATGAAATACATATTACTAAATGAGGTGAGAGCTAACAGCGCTTACTTATGTTCCTCCATTTTTTCTACATAGAACATACAAGGTTATAAAGTTTTCGGGGTATTTTCAAATTTGGTTTCTTTTTTCTTGTACTTACCTTAGACAGGCCTTTACGCAGTCTTTAACAACAGTACTGGCCCTGGGCGGGCTCGAAAGCTCTTGAACTTTCATACGGAAGAAGGTGATGCTTGTTAGAAGATCTACTGTAGATTTAAGGTCTAGAAGCTTGTCAGGGCTTGAAGCTGGGAAATTATTGCGATACATTGAGAGATCTATTCTTAAAGAGTTGTGCAGTTGGTCGAGTAACTTAACAAACTTTTCCTTCTGAAATGCATAATAAAAACTTATCAACTTTTTATAAATAACTTATTTCCTTCAAAAAATATTATTTGTATAATAATTTATGAATTTATTTTAGTAACATGCTATTAATTTGCTTCTCTTATAGGATTCTATAACGAGGCGGTTAGGTTAATCCATTATGGTTCATTTTTGCATCAAATCGTAATGGTCGTAATTATTAGACATGTTCTTAATTTAGACATCTAAAGTTGTTTTTAGTTGAAAATATTTTTTCAATTTCAAAACATTAAGTTTGCGTTAGTTCAATTAGTTTTGTTTTCAACTCTAAAATTGCGTAAAATTCTGCATTGATCGATAGTAATTGTCTTTCTAATTTGTTTAAGATCAGTGAGATAATTGTAGTCGGTTAACATTGTTGATGACTGAGAATATAACAGGTATCATGTAAGTGCGATTAAAAAAAATTCTTAATGAAGTTTAATAGATAACTTAAAAATAATGAGGTTACCCCAAAATTTGAAGCAGCAAATCGGTCGCTTGCTGATACAGCTGTGGAGGCTGTCGTGTGTGCGTAATAAGCATTGATGTTGGCCAACAGCATGCTCATAACTGCTGGTACTCCAGGGCAAAGATATTTGGTGGAGAGACAGTGGAAATGTCTGAAAATTAAATTAAAGTACAATTAAATCAATGATAAAACACGTTCGGCGAATTTAAAGTGTGGGCTAAATGAATCGTCGTATGGGTTTGGTTTTTCATTGGAGCTTCGCATAGAGTCTTCATGTGTATACTAATTCAGGGAATCTTCTGAGAATGAGACCATGTACTCAAAAAATACAAACAGGTCCATTTGTAAAGTTATACCGCAAGAAATTGCTTATTTTTGTCGCTAGAGTTTAATAAATTATGAATAATTGCCTGTTTCTTTAATATGCCTTTTCGGGCGCGGCATTATAAAGCACATGAATTTTGTTGATTTTGAAAAATATAATTCTTTAAGGTGTAATGACTTCAAAATTAGTAAATTATTGATTTCTTACAATTACACATTCACATGGAGCTTAAACCATTAACTTAACTGATTAGGATGTAACACTTATAATCAATATTAAGAATAATTGTCATTTTCTGCAAAACCTACAATTAAACTTAACGTTCTAATTTAAAATACATACTGAATAATTAAGCGTTAAAAGTCATTTCTCTCTGGGGCTCAAAATATTGAATAAAGTATTTTAAGATGGAAATTGTTCGCATTTCCAAACGCTTGCGTGTAATAACAAACTTTAATGAAACCTGATAGAAAACTTTCGGTTATGAAATTGTAATATCTGCGGCTCACTAGAAGAATACGTTAATTTATTCTGTTCTAAGCCGGCAAATTTAAGTAGGAAAATTTATTTCATATCTTTCGGAATATTAATAAGGGAATTAATACAAGTAAATGTTTAAATTAAAACCTAAAAATCAAATCACCAGTTAAAATGTTTTTAGTTTTGACAATAAAATAAATACACTAATTCAACTAAAGAACAAAACCTTCGAAAAATTGCCTTATTGAAATCTTAATATGTCATCAGAGATCGAAATTAGTCCATTCTGAGTCATTAAAAAATCATCATCATTATTTCTCTAAAGTTGAATTTAGCTCCGTGAAATTAATCGAAAGCATTCAGCGATGTAGCACATAATTAAAATGAATTGAACTTGAAATCCAAGTCAAAAGAAAATTACGAAACCTTAAACTTTTCTCTAATTTGTCGAATTTTATATTTTTTCCTGAGCTACTAGTATAGCGCTTAGGCCTTAGGGCCGATGAAGACGATTTATTCGCTTTAATTGCAACGGAATACTCGGGACTAAAATTTCAGATTACTTTTAAATATCCACGTCGTAAAAAATAACTCTTGCACTAATTTTACAAATTCCATAGGGCATTTTAATGCATTCCGGCGTATTGTGCGGAATGAGCGTAAATCGTGTAAGAGTGGAATCTCCACTGTAACATTCAAAGGGAAGCATGCAAATTATTTAAAAAACAAGTTGAATAGGAGGAGCTGAGGCATTTGCAATAAAGGCTTAACTATGTGCTGGTTCAAAAGGGTAGAATTGCATCCGAGAATTAGATACCTACAAGGTGTTATTTAAGTACATAGCCAAACTTTAGGAGGTGATTTTTGGCATGGTTTTAAGAACAAAAGAAGTATAATTCGGAAAATGCTCAACACAAGTGTTTAAATAAAAAACATTTTTTTTTGAAAATCACTTAACAATCATCTTTTCGCTGATATGGTTAAAATGTGCAGTGGTATTTACAACAGTAAAGAACAAATTTTGCCTTAAATAGGCTTTAACTGTATACGCTATAACTATTAAGCCCTGTAAAGTCCCGGAGGACAAGTAACCAGTATTCTTGACAAAAAAATGTCGTGTTTACATTTTTTTTACTTTTTCCAAATTAAAAAAACTTCGTTTTTGAGATGAAGAAATATTAAATGCAAAAACAAAAAGAATTAATTAATCTAGAAGAACTAATATATTAAAGGAAAAACAGATATCTCAACAAAGCTTTAGAATCTAGTAATTCTTGTCTGACTGATTTTGTATTTTTGAAGCCAGCGAATTAACATCTAAGCCTATGAAAATTTATTATTTTCTTCTACGCGCGTTATAGAAACGAGCTAAACCATTCAGATTTATTTAGACGATTTTTTATTAACAATATATCGATTAGTACTTTTACCTAACATTACGGAGATTCAGCTCGTCATTGGAGCAACCAATGTGCGAACAGAATTAATTTGTTGCTATTTTGAGAAGCCAATTACTGTATATATTTCACTTGGGAATAATAACAATCTGTGTTGGGAGGGTACAACTCTCTCGCCTCGGCTTTACGATTCAAATGTTAATTCTGTAAGATTACCTCAATGGGCTTCCCTTGCACTAGTTTTCTGCAGTTAATTGAGCTGTTTTTTAACGATGTTCATATTTTAACAACATTATTTAATGGGTATACATGAAGCTTTTGGAAGGTTTTATGTTATTTACTTCACATAAGAAAATAAGATGTCGATAAATATAATATTTGAAGTATACCGAACTCAGTTTTTTAATAGCTATAAAATTCCATTTAAAACGAGCTTAAAATGGTATTATATATTTTTAGGTATTACTAATATCTTTCTTTTATTCCAAATTACGTAAAGTATACTCGTGCCAAATTTCATCCGAATTAGTTGGCCCAATCTTGAGATATTAGGTTTACCAACAATAACTTTTTTTCACACTGTGCCCCTTCTGACGGTTAAATAAGATCACTAAAAACATCTTCTAGCGGTTTTTCCTGGCCGATTCTAGATCTGGCCAAAATCTAGGAAAATCTGGAATATTAACTGAAACTGCGAGTTCACATGAGTTGGAAGAGCAACTTTTTAAGTTTAAAAGTTTTTGAGAAAACATCTATGGCGAAATATATTTCCAAATGTCCAATAGCGGGAATGAAAATATGCAAATAAAGCAGAGAGGGTTATGGATAATGCCATAATTTAATATAATAAGGGTACTTTGCATTAATAGAACTGAGGAGGAACAAGTTGCTGCTTTTGCTGAAAAAACTTTCACTATCATTTGTTCTTATAATAAAATATTCCTTAGAGAATAGTAAAAGAGAAAAAAAAAACAAACAACGTTTCAAGGCACACACTCCTATAAACAAAACTATTTGCATCCAGGAGAAACTAAACCTTCCATATCACCTGAACCCTCTAAGATCGTTTCTGATATAAGTAGGTGCAGATTTCGAGATATGGTAATGTCAGGCACCTCTTGGGAGACAGGAAATTACATGTTTCGAGTCTATTAAGTCTCACCAGATAGGTTTAGCCTGAAAAAGCTTAGCATGTACATAACTAAGGCACAAAACAGAGGTACTTTTATTTTATTATTGAATTTGAACGTATTTTTTGTTGGCATACTGGAAAAAGTTCAGTATTATCAAAAACATTAAGTGATAAGTAAATAAGTAAATTTCATTTTTCAAGGATGGATATTCCGTGCTAATTTCTGTAATGTCGCATTAAAGTGACAGTATAAATGGAAAAGAAGTGCTTTTTCATTCAAATCAGTTCTGGGGGACTAAATTGGGTCACGATATTTTACTGCAAATGTATCATTCAGTTGTGAACTGCTTATTTTATTCCGATAATTTCTACTTAACGAATGTAAATTATGGTTTTTTTCATTTAAGAATTGTCCGGAACATGTAAAGTATAAAATAAGCATATCTGAAAAACATAATGGAGAGCGGAGATGAATAAATAAACGTATAACATTCCTTGAATTGAGAAATTTGAAAAATTTCCGGAATGATTGAGATATGTAGTTGATATGTAAAAATATAAAGTAAATGTAGTAATGTAATAAACCAAAATATAAATTTTTTGGAAAACATATGATTCAACCCAACTTAACATTGTGCAAAACTTAAGGGTTGTCAACATACAGAGCCCAATATTATGCGTGAAGTCAAAAAGGAGGAGTGGTGAGATCGAATAAGTTGAATATTTCCACAAATTTGGCATTTAAGAATATTTGAAATACACCAAAATATAAATAAACTCATGGGAAGAATAATGCTGCGGGTCAAAATGGTTACGGCTTTTTGGTCTTGGATTCTCAATTACGATTTTAATACCAGGACTTATACCTATCAGTTTTTGAAAAAAAAATTTCAATATTCAATCACGTTACTTTCGGTGTTCTTTCGTCTTTACTGTCGTTGAATTGCACAAAAAGACCTGTATATTTTCTCATTATACAATATTGTCTGCGCTATCTGCAGTCTGCACTCTGCAGTGTCGAAACGGTTCTCGTTTCGTTTGACGCTCTGGCTAAATTAAATTTTCACTGAACCCATGGACTGGGAACATTCGGAAATCGACCAATGTATTGCGCCAATGCACCTAACATTTAAATTTGATTTAATTTCACCATCGTTTTTGTCTTGGGAAAAGTTAAATTGAAACTGCTATCAAGTAGCATTACATGTATCTCTACAGTGAGAGAATACATGAAAACGCAAAGAAGAACTATAAATGCGTCAACTAGAGATATATTTACCATATATAATCTGGTGTGCTCGTTGTTTTTCTTATGCAGGCAATCTACAATCTGCCTTGTTTCTATAATATTGACTCACCAGTTTTGCATTATGAAACTGAATTAAAAAACATTAAAAAATGCGTTGCGCTTTTTAACAATACGTTTTTAAACTACGAGATTAGAGTTTGCTAAATGTATTAATTATCGACCAAAAAAAGTGAATATTTTATAATAATTCGGCGCTACAACACAATCCTGTATAGCGTAATTAAAATGTAAAACATTACGGTAGCTAGACGGAGTTGTGTAATTGCTGGTAAGCAAAAAAAAGCAAAAATGCTGCAAAATTTACAAACCGGTTTACCTCCAACATTTTGTAATGTTAATTTTTAATGTTAATATATTTTAAACTGTTTATTTTGTCTGTGAGACAAAATATTAAGATCTCAGATTTACTTTAAAAAAGAAGAGTTTGCATGTGTTTCCAACAAGGAATATTGCATTGACTGCGTTTTAAAATCCCACTCCTAAATCTAAGTGTTTTGAAAGGAATGAAAATTTTATAAAAATCGAGGCAAACTCTTATTAATTCGTAAGATAAAAAGTTAGGGCAAAACGACGTTCTACATGCCTCTTTGTTTTGAATGTTTGGGACTTGGTATTTACTTGTGTTTTATCAAAAATGTAATTTGTTTGAAATTAAACGCATGAGCTACTCATTTTCAGTTAAAGATTTTAGCTGTGCGAAAAAAATTGAATCAATCAAAAGCGAAAATATTAGTTGGGTGAAATTTTAATAAACTTTCTGATCTACAGTAGTATTAGTCCACTTACGTCATTGCTTGATAAATAAATTCTATTCCATATCTCATGGCAAATTCGTCCACAATTTCTTCCGGTGCTTCGTCAAAGTACACTTTCCAAGCGTCGTCTCCTTTCGCTTGGGGTAGCGTGACGATACCACTATTTTCCTCACAGAGATAATGGAATAAGTTTTCGTGCAAGCAGGTGTACTGCACGTGGTAAGGAGCTACTTTCTCCTCTCCCTTAATTTCCACGGAAATATGCAGACGAATCGCTCCAGACACAGCCGATTTATCCGTTCGCTTCTCCAAGTTGTACCAAACTTCCATCTCACCTGATAGTGTCCGAACCTGGAATTTGCAAAAACAGTTTTAACAAATGGGTTCATTTACTTTTGTACTTTACACCAAGACTTCAAAGCAAATTTAAACTAATCCATCAATCTATTAAAAAAATAGAAAATGGACGAATCGATTTTTCGAAAAACGTTTGCTTCATATTTTATTGAAATCATTTATTGTTTAATTACAACCCTATATAATGCAGCTCTTCCATGTCACAAACTTGTTATTGAAATATGCTGCCATTTTAATGTGTTAAAAACGACATTTGCATGTGAAGAATGTTTTTTAATAAGATCGTATTATTTTGGCTTTGAATATGCAAAAAAACCAGAAGAAATTAAGTGGAAAAGTATGCTAAGAAAGATTGAACTAATCATAATATTTCCTTTAATTAATTTGGGTTTTTGTATCTATGTCTAGACCTACTTATAATAAGGTCTGACAAAGCAAGGAATATACAGGGTGGCCATTTTCTGAATCTGAATTTTCTGAATATGGGTAACTTCTAGAGTTTTAAAGATAGAGAATCCGTTAAATGGGCAAAATTGGGCAGCATTCGATTGCCTATTCATTACCGTTTTCAAAATTTAAGTACCCGACTTGGTTCCTGAAATATCCTGAAAAGGAAAGAAATCAACACTTTTTTAATTATTATATAATTCGTAAACTGCTTAAATTAGAACAAAAGTTCAAATTGTCTTTGGTAAAACTTTTTGCGTTGAATTCAGTAAACTAGCACTTGTTGCCATAGTCAACTTGATTTACGAGATAAAAAATAAACTTATGTTTCTTAAATGGTAATCATAGTTGACTGTGGGTCTTTTAAAATCCTTATTTTTTCCTCAATTTAACGATATAACTGTTTGTATGTTTTTCTCCTTTCGTTGCCTTAAAACTTTAAAAGAAGATAAAAAATGTGTAGTAGGCTATGGAAACAAGAACTATATTATCACACAAAGCACAAAACAAAAAATAAATAATGCACAGACACAATCATGTTTACTGGGCTAATGAAAATAATCTTCTAATTGAAAATAGGCGAGATCAACGTGTTTTTTTTTGTGAATGTATGGTGAGGCATTTTTAGTGATAAAATTATTGATCCATTATTTTATAATCACAATTTAAATATGGAAAGATATTTACACTTTACCAAATGAACTTGAAGACATGTTGAATTGTTTTCCGTTGGCATCGTATCGAAAATTGGCATATTTTCAACATGATAGTGCACCTTCACACAACTCACGAGTTGAATGTGAAGATGCCAAAAAATGCCTGGACGTAAACGGAAGTCAATTTAAAGATTTAATTTAAACGACTCATTATATTTTTGTGCTTTGTATGATAATATAGTTCTAGTTTCCATAGCCTACTACACATTTTTTATCTTCTTTTGAAGTCTTACGGCAACAAAAGGAGAAAAACATACAAACAATTATATCGTAAAATTCAGAAAAAAATAAGAATTTTAAAAGGCCCACAGCCCAACTATGATTACTATTTAAAAAACCATAAGTTTATTTTTAATCTCGTAAATCAAGTTGACTATGATAACGAGTGCTAGTTTATTGGATTCAACGCAAAAAGTTGTACTAAGGGCAGTTTTAACTTTTTTTCTAAGTTAAGCAGTWTACGTAATAAGTGATAATTAAAAAAGTGTTGATTTCTTGTCTTTTCAGGATATTTCAGGAACCAAGTCGGGTACYTAAATTTTGAAAACGGTAATGAATAGGCAATCGAATTCTGCCCAATTTTGCCCATTTAACGGATTCTCTATCTTTAAAAATGTAGAAGTTACCCATACAAAGATTCAGAAAATGGCCACCATGTATTTAAAATTACTCAACTTATTTCATAACGACTTGACATAATATACAAGAAAAAATTATAAGTCTTAAAAAACGAGTTTCATAAAAACGAAATGTTCCGTTGGTGGCATCATCTAGGCAAGTTTGAAGTGAAACAACAAATACAAAATTGAATCTTTATGATATTGGGTCTGTTTTTTAACTTTTTTGTTGATATTAAATTCAAGAAGGTAAAAGCAGTTTCAAATATACTTATACCGAAAGATTGCTCTTAATAGCTCTTAATGAACAATGTCTTACAAGTGCATTTTTGAGTTGTTTCTATATTATGGATAATGAGAATAAAAACCATTGGAAATCAAATTACTGCAGGTGATTAAAAAAATTGTCCTGCTTCAGATCGTTTAGAAAATCGGTCCCAAATACAAGTAACAGAATCTCGACTAATCGGCTTTTTGTCTCTCCAAATCCTGAAAGGGATTAGCTAAGCGGTTTAAAAATAATCCAATAGGCGACAAAATATTGATGTGGACGTAAACGTCTACAGAATAAGCTTATTTTAATGAAGAAAGATATATATAATACATAAATATTACTGGAAGTACTATATTCATTTTTAATGTTTTCTATTTACCCTAATAGTAGCGGTGGCGTAATTGAAAAGTACGTAATCGCAGTTCAATGTTCTTATATGCTTCATGCCGGTCCAATAAATTCGTTAAGAAGTGTGTATTTCATAAGAAGTTGTTGTTCAATGTTTTTAAATTAACTTTCGAGTCAATTTTAGTCGTGCGACAAGGAAATACACCGTTTCATTCATTGATCTTCAAATATTCGGGACTATCTGCTTTTTTTATGACTCTTAAATATATTGATTTCCTTCATGATCTTATCAGTCAAGGAATTAGTATTTAGTACGACGATATTAATAGAACACCAGAGGGTTATTTGTAAAATCAGGCATACTTTAGCTGGCAGATTCAGTGCTACTTTGTAGTTTTCATTTCTTTATCAGGTAACTATCGCGAGAGGCCCACCCTCGTAAAAAAGCAATTCGCTTTTTTATAACTTACATGTGCAATCTCCCTCGGTTTCAAAAAGTTGCCCTAAGCAAAAGAGCCTGTTAAATAAATTCAGTAGATAAGTATTGAACGTTTCCAAACGGCGAATGCCACAACTTGCATTCTTTTAGATAAATGGATCGAGAATCTATTTCCATCATAGTTCCCCATCCCTAACTGTGCATAACTTCAGTAAGTGTTATGAGATACGGTGGACAATATCAGGAAACACAGCTACCGACTTTATCTAGGGCCTAATTAGAAGCTTACAAGCTAAACAGGCCTAGATCAATGTTATTATGATTTTTTGTGGCATTTTTTTAAATGTTTGCAAATATATTGATCTCGCTAATTGGTTGAATGTTGTTAACGTTACTTCGGCTTATGGGATGGCAGGTTGAAACAGCAATAAAATATTCACTAAATTTGCGTGCTTTAATTATTAAATTAATTATTCAAGCTGATGGAACAATTGAAGAGCTTTGAAAGTCGTTCACTATTCTTGTGTTAATACCGTCTAATCCAGGAGATCAAAACGTATTTTTCTTGGAACAAAAGTGCCTTAAAATGGGCTAATATTAACGGTGCCAAAAGGGCGAACTCCTGTGTAGTCATTTTTTTATCAGTATAAAAAGGGACAACATAATTATTTAAATAATTGATTTATACTGAAGTATTCCAAGCTCCAACTTGCAGCAATTTTACGCTTTATAAGATTTTATAATGGAGGATAAGGACAAATTCACAAACTTTTCAGGTTAAAATATGTCTCAAATCGGATGCTTCGGAAATACGGATTGCAAAAAGTTCCATTTGGTTTTAGTTTATTTTTACTAGTGTATCCTCACAATATTCTGCACGGTTGTTTGCTTTGGGGGTCAAACATTTAACTCTCTTTTATGTTCATTATAAAATGTAGGCATCTCCAAAATACATAATTCTATGAAATGCATTTAGAACCTCACGGTGAAGAGTTGATTTGAGCAATAGTGTTGGAGATCTTAAGGGTTCAAATAATTTCGTTTATCAGATATCAACAACAGACAGTTCTTAAAAAATAAATGCTTTTAATCGAAACTAAACCAAACCAACTCAAACTACGACAAACAATGCGTACTTATAACCGAAGAAACTAACAGTGCTTTTAATATGCTACAGTGAGTTCAATTTAGCAAAACTCTTTGCTGAATATTGTAAAGAAAGCGTAGTTTTCATGGAAACTATTGATGAAAAACTAAAAGAAAATTAAAATTTTGATCGATTGGTAAAATGAAAATCTGTCTCGGCGAAATCATTCACTTTTAGACTTAGGTAGTTCCAATAAATCGCTATAGTTCAGCCTTTGGCATTTGCCGTAGCATTTTTTCGCACCTCATATGCAGATCCTGTATATGCGTTAATATTTATACTTACCTCTCTACAGGTGATCATAACAAATTTCTGAGCTTAAGACCTCTTTTCTTGTTTTTAAAACAAACTTTAACGGAACAAATGTGATGAACGCACAGGAATTCAATGCTTACCTCTATGATTGTTTGGCCCAAAAAGTCATCTGATTCTCTAGTTAGTTTCTGTCTCAGCTTGCTCTTAAGATCGTTGTCTTCATCCCATACTCGCACTTTGATTCTATCCGAACTGTTGTGGCATTCGCTGAAAATAAGCAAATATAACATGTCACGCACGTAGTTAAATAGCTTTTGAAACATACATTTCACTTTCAAAGGTTTAGAAAATATCCTTTTGATCTGGACTAGGAACTACTTATGATAATAATGACTTTTTAAATAAATTTTTATGTAAAAGGAAAGTTGATGTTTATATTTAAAAAGCGTTTAAAAAAAGCATAATAATGGGGCGATCGACAATTTGTTTAAGGTTCAAATACAAAATTTTGGACAAATCATTTCATTGCTGCAAATAAATTACGGATATTTTTTGTGTACAGAGAGCTCCTTAATCCAAGTTATAGCTTTTCACAAACTGCGGCCCAAATTGATATTGTGAAATTTAATCTTGGATGGTCCAACCGGCTTTGAATATATTTGCACATAAGCCATATTGGAGGTGATAATTTTGCAGTTTCATTATCAGTCTCTTCTTTCAAATACTTCTTGCACTTTGTAATTAACATGAAATTTTATCCTAGGTATATTTGGAATGTCCATAAAAAGTGCCAGTATTATAAAGATTTGATCTTTAAAAAATGTAAATAGATTCGCATTTACTCATATTAAAAATTAATATTGACCACGTCTACTTTTTTATTTGCCTTCAGTGATGTTAACAGCAATCTATTGAGGCTGTTAATATCCAAAATTGATATAAATTTGTTAAACTGTCGCATGCAATACGACAAACTTCTAAATCGCAGTTACATTCTAATATTCATATTGCAATTAATCTTTTTCATGTCAATCACCGTCGAGAAAAACATAATTCCTTGCCAATTGCCGAGAATCAAATAGTCCGATGAATAAAAGTCTGTGAGTTACTTTATATGCAGGTCGTAAAAGTCTAGACTCAATTTGCACCTTCAAAAATTCAACCTGTTGTTCAACCGCTGATCGGATGCATTCCTACTCTCTAAAGAAAATTTATTATAATGTGGTCTCAAGTTTGAAAGACCAATTGCTCTCAATTAACTGGGAATTTTTAAATCCAAACGACAATGTTGATGTTTGAGCAGTTTTTTTGGCCGTACTTAAATATCAACATTTCCTAAAAAGTCAGGAAATTGTTACTTCTAAGGCGATAGAAACAGAGCGCAGCTTGTTTCTAGAGATAAGTGCGTAGAAATGTCGAATATTTATAGGGATAAGGTTGCAAATAAATAATTTGTTAATTAAGAGGACTTTTACATGTACTACATATGTAACTCAAGAATAAATCTTCAATTTTATGGTGAGTAGTGAAAGATAAAGTTTGTTTATCTTTGACTGTTTTGTACACTTAATATTGAAGGAATTTAAGTATTTTATTGAAATCAATAATGAATTGTATACCGATCCAACGGTAGTTGAGCTGAATATTCGTATTTTCGTAAGTTCAATTAGAATAAAAAATAATAATCGATTGGTATTGATTTTATATGTTGCCGTTGGCTGAAAGATCTATTTAATCTGGATAATTTATCAACTATAAATTGAGGCAAAATCTGCCAAATTTGTATAGAGACGCGATTTAGCGAGTACAATTGGGGAAATGAGAGTCAACTGCGTTAACAGATTGTTAGTGTAGTATTCAAATTCTGCATGTTTTCCCAATTTATAGTAAGTATTCTACGCATACTTTCAAATAGTCTCATTTAAGTTTATAATTGAAAACACAAAAGGAAATCCCTCCGGTTGATGGTTTTTGATGCCCACCTCCCTTGTGCTCATAACACGTAATTTCAAAATGAAAAGAAAAATATGTTCCATTTTTGAAAATTCGTATTTTTTTATGAAAACTTCCAGAAGCTTCCAGAATGACCACTGAAATTAAAATTTAGGAAATGGAATTTCAAAACGTATAATTTATAAAAACATACATTTAAACAAAACCAATTAGATATAATTTTCAATTGAATTTATTCTAATTAGAGATCACACTTTCAAATTGCTCATATTGCACGGGCGTCCATTTAGATACTTACAAGACCTTATAAGAACTGATTAAACTTTAATTGGTTTTTTAGATTTCTAATATATTTTGATCGACTTGTTAGATTAACTTTGTGATTATATTTTATACCTTTTATTTTGTATCAAGAAAATCACATTTTGGTTACTTCAAAACAAATAAAGCCCTTGATAATTACGAGCGATTCTCGGTCTAGTCACAAAACAGCTTGTATAAACTATGTTCAAGTGAAACTCAAGGTTTGGGATAAACACGCTACGTGCATTTCTAACCGGACAAATTTATTTAGTCCTGTGGGAATGCACGGAAAAGCTCATCGGTCTTTGCTTCTTGCAACAGATACGTGCTCTTAAAAGAAAGCAAATTGCACATTCTGTTTTGTAAGCCCGGTGACACGTTGTTGAGACTAAACCTACAGGGATTCGTTCAGGGCTATCTGACAGTGATTTTAAACATCTCTGATAAGAGTTAGCTAGAAAGAAAATAAGAAGCCAATCGTGCCCGATTTTAGACATAAAAATGAAAAATTTTTATTAACTACAATTTTTTTCAAAAATTTACAAATATTTGCAATACTTAATATGACAAAATGTAGAAAAAACATTAATTTTCTAGGAGCTTCTTGATCTCGTAAATAAGAGCTTGAAGCGTTACGGAAACATGGGAAACTTCACATATATCTGTAATACATTTACCCTAGTAAATTAGCTCGCGAATTAGCCACTGTTCATCATTAGTAGTCACTGTCATAAATTAATCGAAAAGCCGATAGTAATTATTATTAATCGGCCTTGGACAGTTAATCGTAAATTGTGCCCATTGCGAAAAACCATATCTTACAATTTCCATTCTTGGGATATTAGGCTTAAGAAAATTGTAGATATTGAAAAGAGACGATTTTTTCACCCCGTTTTTAGTACGAATTGATGACAAATACACTTTCTTATGTAGCAAATCAATATCAGCAAACATATGTAATATCTGATCAATACTAGTAAAATATAGATTTTTTTAAAAGAAATTTCAATTGGAAAGTTATAAATATAAATTATATACATTTGTAGATAAGTAGGTAAGAAATTTTTCCTCAATTTAATTTTAAATCATTTAATATAAACAATACGTATGTATAATGGACTAGATGTTGCACTAATGGAAGACGAAGAAGAAGAAGAAGATGCAGTGAAAGACGTTTAACCCAGTGTTTTTCCAAACACCCTGAATAGTTAGTAGAAGGTCTTGGCAGCGAGGCAATTGGACGCAAGTTAAAACCTATGGGCAAAGGAAATGCCATTGAGCCGAATTTTATGAAGATAAATTATAATAATTCAAATATGCAATTGATTGTACACGAACGGTTAGTAATTAAGGTACTAATTGTATTATTACGTTAATACATAATTTTGCACGCTTTTTACGCTTTACGCATTTAATTCAGTTTGTGTGTTGCTTTAATTAAATTATTTGCCAAGCCGGTAATACTTTAATTAAATAAACAAATTTTGACCAAAGCTTGTACGAAAATAGTGTTAATATTTATACCATATTTGTTTTGTTAAGTTTCTTTAAAATACATCGACATTTTAATTTTTATTTCCCATGAAATATTTATATTATTGATCCTAAATAAACGGTTATTTTGCCTATTTCAAGTGAAATTAAGTTACTGGCCATTTAGCGTAAATAAACTTGTGCTTTCTTTACTTATAAACTCTTGAAAAAATGTAACTTCTTAATGCCAAATTTCGCATTAATTTCCGTATAATATTTTTAACACGTTTTGCAAATAAAGTCATAAAGTTTTATTTAGATTTCAGCTAACGTTAGTTCAAGAAGTACCATTGTTTAAAAATGAGCAACAGTAGTGTATAATTAGGATTAAATTCGTTTTTAAATATATTTTGCTTCAACTTAAAGTTTAAATGCTTGAAATTTAATAAAAATGAATGAAACATTTCTAAACCTTTGAAATTTTATTACTCAATAAATAAAGCGGTGTAAATTACAATTTAATATGTTATACTTACAAAAAAAACTTCTCATCCCAAACTGGGTTCAGTTCCTGAGGCATAGTTCGTGTGCGCTTCTTCACCTTTCCCACCTGAACCGTTACATATGGATCCGATGTTCCACTTTTGTCCTTCGCAATTAATCCTTGTGCCGATTTCACTAGAAATTTCAATAATAGTTAGTGATAATAAAGGGATTGGACGAGCCGACACGCACTTATTAGGAAACCATTCCTTGTCAATGCGCTCGCATTGATGATATATTATTCAAATGTAGTAATTTTCGGGACAAAACCTTTTAGGACAAAATTATAATTCTATTATAACTCTCGCCTTTGCCGAACACGCCGCATAGTTAAATGAGGGTCAGATACAGCGCCGAAATAGAGAAATCGTCAGGCGGAAATTGAATGTTGCTTGCAGAGATGATTTAGTCCTTAAGTGTATTTGTTTACTGTCCATTATAGATAATTTAGAGCGAAACTGGACTACCGGAAATAATCAACTAAGAATGTAATTTTAATTTAAAAACTAATATATTAATCTGTTAACTCTTAAATTAAATTTAAAGAAAGAAACAATTGATCAAATGACCTCTCTTGATATCAGTCAATGCTAATTCAACTTCTATTTAATTTTTTTGCAAAACCCGCTGTTGGTGCGTTCAGAGTAGACCTGTATTTCCGTCACAAACTAAAATTATTAATTCTGCAGTGTCCGTTTGATATGTTGAAACGCTATGTTAAAAGGTGCAAATATAAATGAAATATTCAGCAAGCATTTTAGTGCTTGCGTGCAAAATTCCGCTTTTATTTACTCCAGATTAATTGGCACCAAACCGTTTGAATTTTCGGGGATAATACCGCGAAGGCTGAAAATAACTGACAATTTTCATCAAGTTTTATTGTCTATAGTCTGACGAGTTCGAAAAACCGCTGATTCAATAATAATGTTTAACATTTACAAAATTCTTTACCTTATTGGGTAGAGTGTCATTTTTCTATTATAAATGTGAACTATTTTTGAGGAACATATATTTAAGTTTAGATATTATATAGAAGTTGTAATCGTGGAAACAAGTTCCAAGCTGATGGTTTACCCCAAAAGTTCAACAATGCGAGTAAAGTAAATAATATTATCACTTAGGAATGGTTTTCTAATAAGGTCCTTTTACTGTACACCCAGATAGAGAGAGAGTTTCAATTTGCGAGTTCAAAGTACATATAGTGCACATTGCGTCAGTGAAGAATAAGTACAGCATGCTGTGGCCGTTTTAGCGAGAAAATAAGGGTAAACATGCTTATAGGACAGGCGGAGAGAGACCAGTTCAAAGGATAGGATACACACCAAAAGCAAAATTATTTACAACAAACTTGTGTGGGCATGTGTAGCATTTTCATGTATTTTTTCATGTGATTTGTTAATAGTGTTGACGAGTGTTAATGCATTAATTTATGTAGGAGGTAAATGATGTCGTTAGGCATCAGATTTTACACACACGGTTTACAATCTCAGTTACCATTTGGTTGATGTTTTCCACTTCCCAAATAACCGTTTTGCTATAGACGTACTTCCATACTGAAATCACTTAATTTATATCAATTTCTAGTTTAATAATAATATTAATATCTGCTTTGAAATGCCAACATTTTTTTTAAATTGGGATTTTGTTTTCGAAGTTTCCTAAATCTTTGTTAGGTAACCATCAGGCATCATGACCGTTAGCTACATTCTATTGGGCAAGCTTTTTGATTTAAATGAGGTAAAAATGGAAGCAATATTCGAAAGGTGAAAGTGTTCGTGCCTACTTTCCTGCTCCATCGTACGTTTTCAATATGCAAACAAATGGCAAATGGCGGATTATTGTCATTTGCTTTGCGAAGTGATGGAGAATAAATGCATTTTGTGAGGTGGATATAAGTAAGGAAGTAAACATTACAATAGAGATAACAATTGCAGTTAGATATTAATCAGTTGCGGATTATGTAGCAACTGAATTTCTTTGAATTTTCTTTCTGCAAGTTGCTGCGTCAATGGTATCTCATAAACCACAAGACTTAATAGTAATATCAATAGGCCAAAAAATATTTAGGTTAAATAAAGTCAGTTCTAAAAAAATCAAATAAACTCACATAAATCTGAACGATTTTTTACGATTTGCATTGTTTACGATATGCATTGTGGAAATATGGATTGTATTGTAAAACATTTTGCTTTTTAACAAGGCTGAGCAGAGATTTATAAAAAATAACAATTTATGTTTCAACCGCTTGTAGTTTTGCAAACCATATGCATAAACAATATGTGAGCTACAACATAAAAAAACGCTAATACAGTAACTTGTAAGTAAAAACGATGTCCATGTTTCTAGAAAATAGCTCATTTTATTTTCTACTCACTTTCTTCCACAATTTGTTGGCAACGTTTGTTAAGTAAAATTTTGTACAAACGCTTCTATAAATTTAACTTCAAATCTCGTGGTTTCTGAGATGGCAATGATGGAGTTCAAATCGGAGACACAGTGAATATTTTATGGGGTTTACCAGCGCTACGAGAGTGGAAGGTTTTTGCTTCTAAATCAAACAAGTTCTTTATTATTCACATCAGACTTTAGCTAACAATTGATTCAACTTGGCTTAATATTCCATTAATTTTGGTTAATTTGTTTGCACTTCTTAAGTTTTGTGCACAAAAACTATATTTTGGCTAGTACCGCATATAAATTTACAACAATTTTTAGGATTGATTTTTGAGGTTTTATAAGAATAATTGATTTACTGTTACGCTTGTGCAAATTTGTTTCCATTAGACTTTGTGATTTCTATCCCCGCCTATTACATAGGCGTCAATGCTGATGCCGTAGATAGCAGCTTTGAGCAAATGTTTCAATATTTGAACAAAACAAGCTTTCGTCTAAAGCATAGATATTTGAAAACTGTTCATCTTCAATCCTCAATTAAACAATAGTCAACTCCATTTTCATAATGCTCATTAACACCAACTAAAACTTTTCTTTCATATCGTCTCAGCATTGCCAATGAGAAATATAATTGGTGATCATGAATTTACCACACTGGTTTGACCTCAACTTTTTGTAGTAATTAGCCTTTTTATTTCGGGTAGAATATTTAGATGCTTGAGTTCATTTACAGGTTTCAAAGTGCCTTCGTATCTAACTAAGTTAGATGTTTACAAATTCAAAATTCCCAGAATTTAATTCTCCCTATAATAAGAAAAAGTGATTGAAGGAAACAGATTAATTGAAATTAACGTAAATCCATTTCGCTGAGATAAAATCAACGCGAATGTGTATTAAAGTCCCCGTGAAAATATAGGGTAAAATTTAGCGAGTAAGTTTTTCAACTTCTTGGATAATGCTTATAATAATTAATCCCCAGATGGTTAGGCACGTGGGGTATGGTCGCGCGGTATTAAAAACTTAATTTGTCGTTAATAAATTAATTTAATCCTCTAATAAAAACGAAGGAAACAGTCATATAAATTAGAATCTTTAGTGCTAAAAAATTAAAAAAGTAAGTACGCACCTGCAACTTTATACAAATTAATCACAATTGCGCTATACGGCTAATAATTTTACAGTAACTTTCTTCTTAAGTCTTCGGCTTCTAAAACGAAATACGTCGCTACGCATTATTATTTGGAGAATTGGTTAAGATTAGTTTAACAAGTAATAACGAGCATATGGGCATTAAATTATTCAGCATGATTAATTGTAAACTCAGCTGATTATAAACAACAAAGATGCTATTATAATATGCTGAGTTTTCTACATAGTTGGTTAAAGAGGTTTCCCAAATAATATGATTAAACTAAATTGAACAAATACGAAGACGATGGAAGGAGATGAATACATTTTGTAATTGAAACTTTTCTGCATTGTAAATACTATAGTCATAAGATATTTACACAAAACCTTAAATAGTCATACGACATAAAAATTGCTTCGACTGTTAGGCAGGTTTGGCGGTTTTTTTCTCGCAATTTATTATTTCTGGATCATTTTTATGTAGCGATATTTKATATTTRGATTACTTGRAAAATACAGAAARCTTAAAATTTTCGAAGATATGAAGAYACAATTTCTGTCTTGCCATTAAGTAAATATTTTATACAAGTTCAATGAYCTTTTGGCAAACCAGAATWATGGATGAACCTTATCAATAAAACATTGCCAAMATTTCTCATAAATAGTARGCAAAAATGTCAAAGTTATATTTCTGGTAAATAGTTAAATTGTAACTTTTCAAAACGSAAAATTCATAAAGATATYAAAATTCATCAAATTTTCCTACTTTGGACCGACATGATAGACGGACGGAACCAGTCTGGTTTTTGCACATTCATTTTGCTGAGAATGCGAAAATTGCAGTTGAAAGTGCAACCTACCGTAGCGATTAAGACTGGTTTGAGTTTGATAGGAAGTGATAGCTAAAGACGGGTTACATCCTTGCTTTCTTATAAAATTTGCTCATTTTCACCGGCACTTTTCTTTATCCTTCCTACATRAAATTGCGCCATCAGATCCAAACATTAAAYGAGAATTGAGATGATTAAGAGGATAATACCGAGAGAATCGGTGAGCGCCTTGAAWTATAGATTTTATATAATTATTTTGTGTATTAAATTGAAAAACTAAAAGTAACGTTTTAAACTYTGAMTTTTTCTCATCGGTGGAYGTCGACYAATTTAAAGTTGTGTCATTAAAATKATCTCTTTTTTATTYGCATCATCTGTTGGTTTTGCTAATTTGCTCATCWGGCCACAGACTCCCAACGGCATGTTGATGAAAAGCTTCKCTKACAGTTGCGAATCAACAACTTTTCCTCCAAAAATTATAATCTAGCTGTTGCAAATATCTTCATGCAAAATTATCGGTAATTTTGAAGCACTTGTSCAATTACYCGCGATAAGTATTCCGTTTCASATCAATAATACAAAATCGGTAATTTTGTTCTCTTTCACMRTCTTTYACATATAGTTATKGTGAGATTWAMTTTTTGAAAGAAATYTGATTTTTTTGTTTTGYSGAACGWTTTATGAGATTGCCSAAAGCRGACGATTTCGGTTGCTTCATCRAAATATGAGTATTCCATAAAACCAAATTCACAGCGAGTTTCGTTAAAATCCATCGTATGATGC